ATTTGTCCCTATGACAATTCAGTTTGCCATTCGTTGCTGGGATCAAGACACAGCAGCATCTAGACGTTACACAATTAGCCAATGAAACAATGTGAACCATTTCTTTTCATATCATTATAATTCAGCTGTTATTAAAAAAACTGTACAGTTTAGGGAAAGTAATCTTTTTAATTTAAGAAATTAAAGGGGGGAAATTTCTTACTCGCAGCATCAGCAAATGGATTCTCAAAAGGTGCTGAGGGAAAAAGATCCGGCGCCAACCTCACAGCCTTCTGCTCACTAATATCCTTCTTAGCTTGGCCTGTATCCATCTTCTTAGTATCCACTTCATCTGTAACTTCAAGAACAACCTTTGACCCAAGACTCCTGCTTCCATAACCACCTAAGCTTGATCTTTTCGGTTGTAGACCACCACCTCCTCCTTTACTCATACGGTTGGGGCTTGATATCCACTTCTGTGCGTCATCCCACTTTGAAGGAGCTGGTTTTGAAAAGGGCGCCATTAATGATGACCTGTGAGGAACTCTTTCTGCCGTTTTATGGAACTCAAATGAAGAAAGATTATCCAAATCAAAAGAATCATCCTCCTGTGCTCGTACTCTAGAACTCGCTAAGTTGTAATCTCCTGATTTATAACCATTAGCAAATTCAACTGAAGTAGAACGTTCCAGTGGCAAGCTCACTATATCTACGTCTTTACAGTTCTCTGGAGCATTGGCACCTACAAGATTTCCATTACCATTTTATATTGATGAGTTTGACTAGATTAAACAACAACGACGATGACACAATAAAGCCTTTATCAAAAATTTACATATTTATGTTTATTTTTAATATATGAATCCAATAGATTAAAAGTAAACATAAATATGTAAATATTTTCAATCATTTTTTGGTTCTTTCGGATGGAATCATGGAAAGGTGCAAAAAACGTATATTGCCAAGTACTATTAATACTAGGGGTGCAAATGGATCAGATCTGATATTTATCATAGTCAAATACACTTAGATAGAGTTCAGCAAGAAACAACCCTTAATCCATATCCGCCAAAATCAAATACGGATATACAATAGATAAGTGAAAATATAACGGATACAAAATGGAAATGAGAAATCTTATAAAATTGAAAAATATTTAGGTCACGTCATACAAGAGATCTTTAAATAAGATAAATTTCTCAAATGAGAGCCCATTTATATATTCGATATATCTGAAAAGCTACGATTAGATCTCTAGATCATCGAAATTGACCTCAGAACCATTAATCTTATAGTCAAATCAATTTCGACCACATTATCGAGACATGTTCAGATATTTACGACACATATCCTTGTTGGGGAATACCCGGGGCTACGCTAAACCCCTAAAACAGCAGAAACGCAGTATAGAGAAAAGTACACCAAGATTTAACGAGGTTCGGCAAACTTGACTATGTCATCAGGAGCCACACAATTAATTTCTTATAAATCAACAAGAAATTATAATGTAAGAGCAGATCTCAAACTTGAGATCTCTCAATAAAAAGTTCATTATTGTAGCTACAGTAATAACCCTCTTCTTAAATACCCCCTTTAATTCTCCCAATTCCCTTTTTCTTAAACCCCCCTTCAAATCTCTAAAGGCGCTGGGAAAAAAGAGAGCAGAGAGAGAAATCACGTCGCCGCCGCCTAGGGTTTGAACTCGTAAGAGGGGAGAGAAAACCGATGCCGCTGGAAGAGAAACGAGAAGAAGAGCCACCTAATCTCGTGCTCGGGGTTTCCCTTTTATAGGGAAACCCTAGCGACAGGCTGGCGACAGGCTGGCGC